GAGGACTGCGATCAACCTGGTAGACTCAGTCCAGGCAGGTCCAGTCCCTTCCTCCCAGACTGAGCCAAGCGTCCCTGCATAAGCTCCAGGTTTCAAACAGCCAACTCATGCAATGAGCACAGGACTCAGTCCCACTACCTAGATGCCTCCCAAACTGATCAAGCCAATCAACTTTCTCACCTATTCAGAGAGCCTGATCCAGCTGACCCCAGCCTTCTTTATGGTGCTTGGTGGTAACCTGAGCCATGTATGTCAATCTGGACTTTGGCTGCTACAGGGCCTTGGACCCAGACATGGCCCTTGGTGGCAGCCTGGGCCCAGATGACACCCTGGCCCTGGATTTTAGCACAGGCCACCCATATCTATGTGGCCCCTGCTGTGGCGTGCCCAGACATGGCCTCATGCACCAGCTTAGCCTGGTTGACATCCTTGTTCCGAGTGGTAGCTCCAGGCACTCAGATCAGGATGGCTCTGATGGCAGAGCCCCTGGACACCAACAAGGCCATAGGATGCATCTTAGACCCCAGGTTTCATGTGGTCTTTGGTGACACTGTGGGGACATGGGCATCGACATAGACCTCAGCTGCAATAGGACCATGGGAACAGATGTGGTCCTCAGCATCAGCCTACACCTGGTTGTCGCCATGGCCCCAGGTGACAGCAGAGGCCACCCAGATCAGTATGGCCCCAGTGGCAGCATGGCTCGTGCACCCAATCCTGACCCAGGAGGTGGCCCAGCCCACTGGAGTCAACATGGCACTCAGTGGCAACAGAAGCCATGGATATCAACACAGACTCTGGCTACTAGAGGACCAGAGACTCACACATTGCCCTTGGTAGCAGTCTGATCCAGACATTGCAGTGGTCACAGGTGGTAAGCAGACCTCCTTCCTCAGTCTATTCCACACCACCATCATCACAGATCTAGGTGGTGAGCTGGCCTTCAACGTCTGCCCAGTAGACGTCTTCATCTACCTTCTTCCTTTATGTGTCTTTTCATGGAGTATGAGTCTGATTCTCTAACTCTCCCAATTCTCCACCCCTTATTTCCTTAAAATGAGGGGGCCCACACACCCCACCTAAGGACCCGGGCTAGCTTTCTTCTAACTTGCTGGGAAGCAAGTAAGGCCCTATCTGAGTGGGCCTGCATCAGGTTGGTGTGACTGTCCTCTGCCAGCCTGGCATCAATAGTTTCTTATATCAGGAGGTTGAGGGCAGAAATGGGTATAAGGAATTAATCATCACCTTTGGACATCAATCAGTCCTAGCAAGAAAGGCATGTCAGCTAATGATAATTGGGCTGCTTTGTTCTTGTTCCCTGACCTTAATGAAATCCTCACTTAACTATGTGCCTTTCTAATACTAGAAAAATTTCTAATACTAGATTGTCTTCTTGGGTATTTGACAAAAATATCTTAGTCTAACTTTAAGTTATTTTCAAAGCTTTGTTTCAGCTGTGATGGTCTCCACAACCTGTGAACACATCTCCCAACATTAAGGTTAATAGAATTTAAGTTAGCTGGGCTAATAGGACTCAATTGTTTTTCTTTTTCTTTTCTTTCAGCTTTATACTTTCTTTTTTTTCATGGTTAATTTTATTTATTCCTTTTATACATAAATAAAGAAACAAATATGTAAAAATTAGCTAATATTATCCTTTGAGAATACCATTTTTGTCATTGCCTTTTTTTTTCTTTCATTTTTCTTTATTAAGAAATTTTCTACTCACTCCACATACTATCCACAGGTTCCCTCCTCCTCCCTCCTCCCACCCCCAGCCCTCTTTCCCAAGCCACCCTGCATTCCCACATCCCCCAAATCAAGATCTCCCATGGGGAGTCAGCAGAGCCCAGCACACTGAGCCTAGGCAGATCCAAGTCCCTTCCCACTGCACCAAGGCTGTGCAAGGTGTCACACCACAGGTACCAGGTTCCAGAAGCCTGTGCATATAGACCAGGGACAGATCCTGATCCCCCTGCCTGGGTGCTCCCCAAACAGTTCAAGTCAAACAACAGTCTTCCGTATTCAGAGGGCCTAGTTCAGTCCCATGTGGGCTCCACAGCCACCAGTCCACAGTTCATGGGCTTCTACTTATTCATTAACCTAAGCCACAGTCTATATGGCTCCTCAACAGAAACTTGTGTCTAGCTATGTGACACTTCCTTGTTTATAGTTTTATTCATCAAAACTCTATTTAAACTAAGATTATTATCCTCAATTAGACAGTATGGCTTAGGAAGAAATCATCTTCATAATAATCCACAGGTAGAAATGCCCAGTAGAACAGGTTGTTTCCATAAGATAAACATACTACATTATAAGCAGTAGGGATCTCCCCACATCCATTCATACCAGAGAAAGATGGCATCAGCAAACATATAAAGGCACAGAGGAAGCAAAAGACATTCTGGAGTCTGGTCCAGGGTCTTGCCTACTGAGATTCACCCATGAAGGATTTCCCTCCCCATGAGCTGACATCTGAACTTCAATTGCCATCTGTTGCATCTGCAAGAATGACTCATTCAGCTTTGTATTTAGTGTGTTCAATTGTTTTTCTTCTCTAAAGAAAATTTTATTGCTGATTTCTGCACATCCCTTCCAAGGCAAGTTAAATATTACTACAAAGAATCTACTGAGGTTTACTTACAACAAAGGTCCCACCTTTTAAAATTTTTTTAAAGATATATTTGCTTTTGTATATGATTCTCTATTTGCATGTATGCTTGTATGAAAAAAGAGGGAATAAGATTCCATAATAGATAGGTGGTTGCTGGTAATTGAACTGGGGACCTTAGAAGAGCAGCCAGTGCTCTTAACCACTGAGCCGTCTTCCTAGCCCTTAAATATATTACTTATATTAGGCTTTTTATCTGGCTGTCAAAAAAGACTCTGAGAAAAGTAACTCAAGGCAGAATGAGAATTGAAGGGTACAGTTCATAAAATGTACAACTATTAAGATGGTCAAATGAAACATAATTGTGAATAGAGAAATGTGTAATTTTCTATACGTCTCAGCTTCCTCCTTCTACTAATCCCTATACAGTTCAAAAACTGCTGACTCTCAAGTTGCTGTGTGTGTTGTTTTGAATGTGACTGACCTCCATAGGTTCACATATTTGAAATCTTGGCACTGTTTGGAACATTTTAGGATATATGGCCCTATTGTAGGTGTGTCAATGGCGATGCTTTTTGAGGTTTTAAAAGTACCATGTCAGGTACAGTGTCTGTCTGTTTGCCTGCTGCCTTTGGATAAGGAGTAAAATATTCACCCGCTGTCCCAGCTCTGTGCTTGTTTTTCACCATGATAATCATTGACTAACCCTTGAAAAGTGTAAGCAAGCTCCAATTAAATGCTTTCTTTTATAATAGTTACATGGTGGTAATGTTTCCTCATGGCAGTTGAATAGTAACTGAGACAGTGGGCCTTCCTTTATTACATCAGGTAATCAAGATAGCATCCCAGATATACTCTTCGGTAATTCCTATTTACTGATCATTTAGAGGTATTTATTTTCAGAAACATATATGCTAGATGATTCTGTATCCTGTCAGTCTGTCAGTTAAAACTAACCATCCTAATGTATGCACTCTTAGGAGCCAGTGACCTTTGAGGATGTGGCTGTGAACTTTACCTTAGAAGAGTGGGCTTTATTGGATTCTAGTCAAAAGAAGCTCTACAGTACTGTGATGAAGGAAACATTTTTGAACCTGATCTCCATAGGTAAAAAAACCAAACATGCTCCCATTGCTTATTCAGTCAGAGAACAACTTTTTCTGCTTATATGTGTACTGTTGTGATTATTTGGATTCTTGAAGGGAATATGTGGGTGAATTTAGTATGAATATTCATGTCATAAGAGCTAGGTTGTAATAATTTTTTTATGTTTAATATGTCACAAAATATTCTGAATTTTCTTCTAGAGAAAGCACTAGAAGAAAAGACTGAAGAGGACTACAAAGATATCAGCAGAAATATGGGGTAATTTATATTCAAATAGAAAATAATGTATGTCAAAGATTTGGGGATCATGGGACAACTGAGATCCTGTCAAATGTTCCAAGTACACCTAAGTGAAAAATGATACTACACAGATTCCTATAATGGAGCATTGAATTGTGTCTTTAAATATTTGAGAATCTCATGTGTATAATCTATTAATATCACCAAAGTGTCATATAACATTAAGCTCTAAAGAGCTTTTCACAAAAACTTCTCATCATATCCAAAAGTATTTACTACCTTTCTATATATTCTTTTTTTTTTTTTGGTTTTTCAAAACAGGGGTTTTTTGGTGTGCTTTTGGCCCTTCCTGGAACTCGCTTTGGAGACCAGGCTGTCCTCGAACTCACAGAGATCCGCCTGCCTCTGCCTCCCGAGTGCTGGGATTAAAGGCGTGCACCACCACCGCCCGGCCCTTTCTATATATTCTTTTGAGGCTTTGAACATAAATGCTGTTTTGTTTGCTTTCTTTTGCTGTGACAAAAGCAACTCTGGGGTCGAGCTCATTTTTATTTACTCTTCCTTGTCACAGTCTCATCATAAAGCCAAGCCAGGGCAGGAACTCAAGCATGGCAGGAACCTGGAGGCAGGAACTGAAGCAGAGGTGATGGAGAAATGCTGTTTACTGATATGCTCCTCATCCCTTACTCAGCTAACTGCCTTATTCAGCCCTGGCCCACATCTCTAGGGGGACACCACCCACAGTGGGCTCCAACATTCCATATTAATCAGTGATCAAAAAATGCCCCCATAGACATGTCTAAATGTGATTAAGCCATTTTCTCCTTTTTGGTTCCCTCTTCTCTGATGTATGACTAGTTTGTGTCAAGTTGACCAAAACCATCCAGCAAGTACCTTTCCTGCATAGCTGCTGTCCTCCTGCCCTTGGGCACACTACCCAATATTTTTTAAGCCCTCCTTCATCAATCAGGAATGTGAAATGCTCCCACAGACTTGTTTTTAGGCCATTCTCATTGAGCCATTTTCTCCATTGAAGGTCTCTATTCTTTGATAACCCTAGGTGGATCTAGTTGATAACTAACTAACCAACACTGGCTTAGCATTTAGAATGCCAAAATGCCACTGTGTTTAACCACTTTATGTGATTGTTATGTTGGTCTACTTCATTAGGACTTTTGCCTTCATGTTTACTCCTTTTGTGCCTCTCAATTATTTTATATGTGTGTATGTTTATGTATTCTTGTGTATAGCTGGAGTTTTCTCTCCGGGTCCTGCCAAGCCCTGGCAGTCCCTTAGCCCACTTATAAAATAAGCATACAGACGCTTATATTATTTAAACTGCTTGGCCATTAGCTCAGGCCTATCATTGTCTAGCTCTTACTCTTATATTTAGCCCATTTTTATTAATCTATAATTTGCCACACAGCTCGTGGCTTACTGGTACCTTACATCTTCCTTGTCCTGGCAGCGGCTCCAGCAGTCTCTCCCTCCGCCTTCCTGTTCCCTCCATTCTCCTCTCTGTTAGTCCCACCTATACTTCCTGTCTGGCTACTGGACAATCAGTGTTTATTTATACAGAGCGATATCCACAGCACTTGTGTACACCACTTGTGACAGAAAAGAAACATTTATGGAAGGCAGAAGGGAGCAAGAGATCCTTGAGATTAAGTAACAGGAACTTATGAGCCCTCCACATGAATGCTGGTCATCAAACTTTGGTCTGTTGAAGGACCAAGAGTTGTTCTTAACCTCAAAGCCTGTGGTACAGCTCCTTCATAATTAAAGTCATCACTCTACACATGGCAGGGTCTTTACATGTGGTCCACATTGTCCTTAAAATGGGTGGCATTCTTCTGTTGCCCCTGAGATGGAATAGTTGTAGCAACCCACAGAAGCAGTGTCCAATATTTCCCTTGACTACAGTAATGCTTTTCTCATTTTTTTTTCAGAATTCGGGTGATTGAGAAAGACTGTGAATATGAATGTGATAGTAACTGTGATAAAAACCAGGAATCTATTCCAGAGAATATTGTCAATAAAGATATACCTCCTGGAGTAAGAGTTCATGAAAGCCCATTGCATGTAAGAAATGTCATTAGTTATTCATCCTCACATGGATATCTCAGAGACCAAACTAGAGGAATACTATCTCTATATAAGGAAGCTATGAGAAAGGCTTTTCCACATCAGAAACAGTGGAAAGATATCAGTCATTTTGAATCACTTCAGGTACTTGAAACTCCTAAACAGAAACCCTATAAAAACCAAAAATGTCATGAAACCTCTAGGAGTCTCCCTTTTGATCAGCCTCAGAAGAGAACTCACACTGGAGATAAACTCAAAGAGAGTGACGTAACAAGAGACACATATGGCCAAAATAATGAAGGAATCCATAAAGAAGTAAAACCTTTTGTATGTAAACTCTGTGAAGAATCCTTCATTGATTCCAATGATCTTATCAACCATGAAAAAAGTCATATTGGAGAGAAAAGGTACATTTGTAGGCAACATGGCAAAACATTTAATTATGCAAAATATTTTGAAAACCATGAAGTAATTCACAAAGGAGAGAAGCCTTATGCTGATAAACATTTTGGAAAAGCCTTCACACAGTTCAGTTATCATAATAGTCATGAAAGCAGTCACATTAGACAGAAGCCTTATGCATGCAAGCATTGTGGGAAAGCATTCACCAGTTCCACCTACCGAAACATTCATGAAAGAATTCATACTGGGGAAAAGCCTTATGTGTGTAAGTATTGTGGAAAAGCCTTCACCAGTTCTGCTCATCGTAATATTCATGAAAGAATTCACAGTGGAGAAAAACCTTATCCATGTAGACATTGCGAAAAAGCCTTCAGTGACTTAAGTCGTCGTAACAGACATGAACGGAGTCACACTGGAGAGAATCCCTATGCATGTAGGCATTGTGAAAAAGCCTTCAGCGACTCCAGTCGTCGGAACAGACATGAAAGGATTCACACTGGAGAGAAGCCCTATACATGTAAGCATTGTGGAAAAACTTTTACCAATTTCACTTCATGTAAAGTTCATGAAAGAATTCACACTGGAGAGAAGCCTTATGCCTGTAAGCATTGTGGAAAAGCATTTACCTGCTTCAGTCAGATGAATGTTCATGAAAGGGTTCACAGTGAAGAGAAGCCTTATGCATGTCAACACTGTGGAAAAACTTTCAAAACTACTGCTTGTCGAAACTTGCATGAAAAAATTCACACTGGAGAGAAAGACTTTGTCTGTAAAACATGTGGGAAACTGTTTATTCAGTCTAGTGATCTTAAGAAGCATGAAAGAGTTCACTCAAAAGACAAACCTTATACATGTAAGCATTGTAGAAAAGCTTTCAGTGACTCCAGTAGTTGTTGCAGACATGAAAGGCGTCACACTGGAGAGAAACCTTAGATATGTAAGCCTTGTTGAAAAACCAATTTCTGTTTGTATAAGGCTCTTGAAATAGTCCACACTGAAGCGAAACCTTATGCATATAAGCATTGTGGAAAAGCATTTACCCACTCCAGTCATCCGAACATTCATGAAATGATTCACACTGGACAGAAGCCAAATGCATGTAAACATTGTGGAAAAACCTTCAATACTTCTACTTGGTGTAACTTGCATGAAAAAAATCACACTGGAGCCAAACCCTTTGTGTGTAAAACGTGGGAAACTTCATTCAGTCCAGTGATTTTAACAAGCATGAAATAGTTAACTCAAAAGACAAGCCTTATGCATGTAAGGGTGTGGAAAAGGCTTCAGTTGCTCTGGTGATCTTAACAGACATGAAATGTTGTTCATGTCTGTTAAGCTTCACACTAGTTGGTAGCCTAATGCTGGTAACCTTCACTATTTCCGGTTGGCACAAAAGTAATAAAAACATTCACACTGGAGAGAAACCCTCTGTTTGTAAACATTTGAAAAACTGTTTCTTTGTTCTTGTCATTTTATCCAGCATAAAAGATCTCACACTGTTGAGGAACCTTATCATCCTCAGCAGTGTGGGAAAGCCTTCACCCCTTACAGTTCCTGTAACCCCTCATGCAAGAATTTACATCTGAAAGAGGCCTAGTGAGGGTGTGCATTTAAGTATTGTGCAAAAACCTTCATCAGTTGCCATGATGTTCTTGAGAATTCACCCTGAAGACCTGAAGACGGGCCTTATGTGCATAACCATGTGGGAAATCCTTTAGAAGCTCAAATACTCATTTCCCCCCCCCCACTGGTGAAAGTCATTATGTTTGGAGTAAATGTTCAAAATATGTCAAGTTTTTAGAAACCTTGTCTTTTTAAATAATCTCTTCCTGAATTTCTGTGTTTCAAATCCATGTTCAAACCAAAATGTTCTCACAGCAATAACTGCAGTGTGTAGAACTCTTACTTACTACTATTAACTGTGTGACAGTGCACTCGTCAAATTCTTGTGTTGTGAGGTATGACAAAAAGAATGTGGTTGAACCATGAGATGTAATAGTTGGTAATGGTTCTCGCCAGAAAATGTGATTATCTCAGTTACCTTCGTGAATCTTACCTGGTGGAAATGGAGACCCACTTCCCAAAAGTTGTCTCCTGAGAATCACGTGCACACATCCTAATGAACAGAGAGTGAGAGATGGAAATGAGTAAAGAAATAATGACATTTTCATAAGAGCAGAGACATAACTAACAAATACAATATTTTAATGTGAAAAGAAACAGATTGTGAGACTTGCAAAAGTGTAATTTTAACGCCCAATATTTTACTATATATAGTATGAAAACCACTTGCAGTATGAGCAATAATACCTTTTTTTGGTGGTGTTTTTGTTTTTTTCTTTAGCTGGCTAAGGCAGCAGCAGCTTTGAAAACAGCTGTAGTGGTTATATACTTGAGAATGGCCCAGTAGGCTAATAAGTGTTCCCATTGGTGGACCTGTTTGAGGATGATTAGAAGGTATGGCCTGCTGATGAATATCTGTCATCTAGACAGCTTTTGAGATTTCCAAAGACATTGACACTCCTTGTGTTGTCTCTGCCTCCTGGTTTTGGATTATCATGTGAGCTCTCACTTGTTCCCACCACCATGCCTCTGCAACGCCATCACAGCCTCTAACCTTCTGCAATTATAAGCCCAATATGACAAATCATTTTAAAAGTTCCTTCACTATTTCTGATGTGTCACAGCTATAGAAAAGACAACCACCTTGAGCCTTTAAGAAGAACCAATTCCAGTCAAAAAAATTTATTGCAAACTTGTGAAAAAGCTGGGTGTCATTTAAAATGAGATAAAAGTTGTGAAACTTTTTCATATACTTGAATCTTATATCAGAAATAAATACTTTCTGGAAGTTATTCCAGGGATTTCTGGAAAAAAAGTTTAAAAGAAGTACGTTAAAATTTTGAACATTTTTATTATTGGCTCATTCCTATACAGGAGATTTACTTTGAATTGTTTTATTAGGAAGGCAAGACATGGTTTCTGTGGTTACTCCAGGTTATCTTCTCACATCTGAAGATTTGGAGCTAGGAAGCACAAAGACAGAAGAAGAGAAGAGAGATTTATCTTTCTAAGTCTGGGTTAGCACACTCATTTTCTATTTGATTCCATCTACCAAACAGTTTTTCGATTTAGGAATTCTGTGTGCCTGAATAGTAAAGGGAATACCTGGATGTGGCTGACATGAAGGGCCACATGTGAAAACTTTGGAGGGAAGAGATTTCTAATTAGGGATGAATTGAAGCCAGTCAATACAGGAGAGAAATGAGGGACAAATACCAATGTTTTTTGATAATGGTTAAGAAGTAGTTATTTTGTAAACACCCAAAATTTTATACCATACATAGTGTGAATAGTAAATATATCTATTATAGAAAATATAATAATGATATATAATATATAATAAAGGTGTGAATACAAGATTATGTACACTCATGGATAAACACAGATACATATTAAATGAGATTATGTCACTTGGCTTGACAGTCCTTACCCCCAAGAACCCTACATTAATAAAAACAATAGTACCAGGCATGAGGAATCTCCATTTGAGTATTTCATGATAGTCTATGTAATTCCTCAAGTAATTTAACATATGACTCTTTCCTTTGTTCATATCTGAGAGGTTGAAGGTAAGTCGTATTTGCCAAACCATCCCACATTTTTGATGTAGGACTGGGAAGGGTTAACCTGGATCTAACACCAAAACCACTTTCATTAGTCTGTCATAGTAATAGATACAGTGCAATTTGGCAAGTGGGAGAAGTAGCCAATAGGCCTCCCAGCTGTGACTTCTGTTGTGATTTAGAAGAGAATCTCCGCCCCCCCCCCGTAGATTCCTATTTTTTTAAAAAAAGATTTATTTATTTATTATGTATAGTGTTCTGTCTGCATATACACTTGCAGGTCAGAAGAGGGCACCAGATCTCATTAGAGATGGTTGTGAGCCACCACGTGGTTGCTGGGAATTGAACTCATGATCTCTGGAAGAACAGCCAGTGCTCTTAACCTCTGAGCCATCTCTCCAGCCCTAGATTCCTATATTTTTTGTTTGTTTGTTTGTTTGTTTTTCGAGACAGGGTTTCTCTGTGTAGCTTTGCGCCTTTCCTGGAACTCGCTTTGGAGACCAGGCTGGCCTCGAACTCATGGAGATCCGCCTGGCTCTGCCTCCTGAGTGCTGGGATTAAAGGCGTGCGCAACCACCGCCCGGCTAGATTCCTATATTTTAATGCTTGGTTACCAGTTGGTGGGATTGTTGGGAAGGATTAGAAGATGTGGCCTAGTTGCAGAGGGTTAGTTACTGGGGTTGCTTTAAGATTTCCGTGCTGACACTGTTCCAAGTTAGCTTTCTCTCTGCCTCCAACTTTTACATCATGATGTAAGCTCTTAGCTGGTGTCCATTACTATGCTTGCCTGCCTGCTGCCACATTACCTGTAATGATAATCAAGGGCTGTAACTTTTGGAAACATGAGTGCCAAGAAGTGTTTCCTTTCATAAGTTTTGGTCATGAGGTCTCTTTGCAACAATAGGAAAGTTACTAAGAACCATATGAAGCCAAACGGTGATCAGCGTGGCAAGATATCAGTAATTGTGCAATAGTAGCATCCATGTCTTGTTGGTAACCAGCTACTGTATATTTATATTTAAGGCTTGCCCAACAGGAGGGGAATCATGCCTGTTACTAGTGGTGATACCAATGAATCAGGATAGTGAGATCATGAATTTTAGAGAACCTACTTCTGCCATTTTCCAGGACTCCGCATAATTCCTGAGTCTTAAAACTTATCTTTATACTCACAGAAGTATAGCCCATACCTTTCTGTAAATAATCTCTCTAGAGCCAACAGACAATTCCAGCCTTGCTTTATTCTCCTCTTGCATTTTGAGGAAAGGGGGTGGTAGATTTGGATACTCTCCATTTTTATAGTGATATAATCACTAAATAAAAGTTGTATCTGCTTCTTGTCAGTCTTAGTTCCTTTCCAGTTACTCCTCAACTCATATTTTCTCTAAATTTGTTGATGTTATGTTAAAGTTTTTAATTTTGTTTATTGAAAGAATCGATTAAGTGAATGTAATACCAAGGCCCAAGACAAGGAAAGCATGTACATTAATCCCCTTGTTGTGATACTGATGACTGGCAGTTCCATTCTCTGACATACACTGACCAAAATGTAGTCCTGTGACTTAAGGAAAACTGTAAACATGATAGAAGTAAGGTCTGAAGGATGTCCTTTAGGGGTTGCATGAGCCATGACATCTCTTGATACCAACTTTAAAATCAGCATCAAATAACAATTGCTTAGTGATCTAAGTGTTTAAAAGAATTATCCATCACAACTAAATATTAATCTTTATGATTATATTAGACTTTTAGATTATTTTTCAACCATTTAATGATGCTGTCTCCGCATGGGAATACTAGCCCTCCAGAGTAGGTTCTTTTATTTTACAGACATTTCACATTGTAGCTGAAAGTTTTCCTGTGCTCACCTGGCTCCAAGGTCCCACAGCCACTTATAAAATTCCTGTGTCCCGCCTGGTCCTGCAACCGCTCAGACCCAAGTAAACACATAGAGGCTTATATTATTTACAAATGATATGGCCTAATGGCTCAGGCTTCTCACTAGCTAGTTCTTATATCTTAAATTAACCCATTTCTATAAATCTAGACTTTGCATATGTGGCTCTTGGCTTACTGGTATCTTTACATCTTTTGTTTCTCATGGTGGTGGCTGGCAGCATCTCCTCTGCTCTGTCTTTCTCCTCCTCTCTATCTGTTTGGATTTTCTGCCTGCTTCTAAGCTGCCTTGCCATAGGCAAAATGGCTTTATTTATCAACCAATCAGAGCAACAGTTTTTTCCACAGCAAACAGAAAGGTATTACCTCATCATCACATAACATAACCATGGGATTCTAAAGGAAACCGTTTACCTTTTTTTCCAAATATTGTGGCTCCATGATCACATTTTCCCCAATAATTCCAGATTCAATAAAATATTAATGACCTATCTGCTAAAACAAATTACATTTTGTCTTAGAAAAAGAATTCAAGTTTAAACCCTGACAGTTAAGGCCTCTTGTGAATCCCTACTTTCTGACTGGGAAGCTTATGCCTGCATGACTAAAATTAAAGCTGGATTTCAGTGGAAACCATGCTATCCCAGTCCTCAGTGAGCCTTTAGGCCTTGGTTCTAGTCAAATTAACTGGAATCAACCAATGTAATAGCTCTATTGCATTGTAGTCCATTTGTAATACTCAAACTGCCTCAGCTACTACTATGTTTACCAGGTCTCAAATAAGCAGGAGATACGAGTTTCCAACCTTTGCAGCTTTTGACACCTGTCAGTATGATATTTAGGGTGGTATTGATTGTTTTATAGTATCTTAAAATGTTAGTTATTTCTATAAAATGAATATTACTTTGATCATGAAAAATAGTTTTCATTCAGGTATGAGTTAACACAGAAATTTCAACCATTTATGTTGAGAATTTTTTAATTTTACTTTATGGTGATCCTTATGAGTAACCAAAATAATAAGTCAAAAATTTGTTTTATATCACTTGGCATGAATCTGGATAATATACATAGTAAGTCCTTGTTGGATGAATTGCTATAAATTACTTTCCAGAAGTATTTTTCTAAATTTTTTTAATTTTATTTTTCATGCCTGTGGCTATTTGGCCTGCATATTTCTTTGTACCTCATGTACATGCCTTGTCCCCATGGAAGCCAACTTGGCTCTTTTTCTGTGAAATTTCATTTTTCTTTGTTAGGTTGACAGGATATAAAATACCAATCAAAAGTCACATTCAAATCTAAGAATGCTTATTCTATACAAATAAAATTGTCTATGCTGGTAAGTATTAAAAGAACAATAGTACCTCCTTTCTAAGATAAATTTTAACTTATAACATTAAGAAGTAAGACTGATGAACTGTCTACATGTGCTTTCCTCT